CTAATTGCGCGGTTTAGAAGTATTTCCTTATAATTTAAAACATATCTACGCGTAGATCATGATGTTCTGTTAGAATCGCTGAAAACTGTTTTCGCGAACGCGAACTGGCTACATAAACCGTGAGAGCAGCATGGCTTTTCTAAGTACCCTTGCTACCTGTAATGTCTGACCTTTTGGCGTACTTGGTTTATGGTGACAGCAAAGCCGAGCTTGACAGGAAACTGTACCCTTTTGAATTGAAATGGAAGGTCAGTGGGAATAATTGGAATCCGAGGTATGATGACATTTTCTTCTTAGCGACACCCGTTAAAATACTGGCACCAAGTAGATTGTGCCCTAAAATTGAAATAGACTATGGCGCGCGTAGGCCCTGCCTTAGACGCCGAAATACGGCACTCATTATTGGATGTAGTATTTGTGTCGAAATGGCGTATATGTTATGAGTGAGATATTAGCTGTTTTTGGGTTGGAGCTACCATCTGTGTAATGGCGGATGAAGTCCGCCACATATCATTTCGGACAAAAAATGTATCGCTTTGTTTTGCATTGTAAATTGAGAGTTGGTTGCCATTATTTGTCCTTTTACGCGTTTTATGTAATAGCGCTCTCACTATTTTGCCAATATATCTTCGATTGACTATTATTTATCCCTACAAGGAGACATGAAGCTGCGATATACCGCAAACTACTTCAGTCATACTTATTATTATGATTAAACTTATTCCATAAAATATATATTAAGTAAATACAAACACGTTTAATCAAGGGTTTTAATCCATAGGTACGACAGATGGACAGAGATTTATAACGGCACTACAGAACCAGAACTCTTAAACTATCTCTATTTTCTGATAACATGGAAATAGGGACGGGACCTTTACAAATTTGAAATTTTCTCTTGATTAACCTAATTACTCGTTCCACATGAATACACACATTGGCAATTTTCGGAGGTTGTTTCTATGTTAACAGGGTCAACTTGGCTTTTTCCTTTGGTAAATGCAGGAGTTTCAAGATGTCCCTTAAGTACTTCCACCGAATCCCTAATTTCAAAAATCTCTCTCTCGCGAATTACGTCACCAGGAACCATAAACGTTTAAAACGCCACAAATCTCAGTTAAAAACTTATTACTGGTTCGCCCACCCTAGGCTTCTGAAATATATGAGACTGTTCCCTGAGGTGAAATTCCAATCAAAAATTTAACGGTTTGGTGATGTTTGTAATTAGACCAACAGCAGGCAGCATTGGATAGTCCTGATGGTGTTCCTGATTGTGATAAAAATGTATATTTTGCACCCAGGTGTTATCATTTAAAATAGTAGGTTTCGGTTTGATGTCAATGCCATTTTTGAAATTGTCACGTTTTGACGTTTGAAATTAGAAAAAGTACTTTTGTAAGGAAATACAAGTGAAACAATGTGTGTTAAAAATTCAAGTGCTGCTTTCACGGTATGGTGTTTGTATAAGTTGCATATTTTGCATGACATTTGCGCTATGTAAAAAGATCTTGTTTTGCGTGTGGCAACATCGGCGAGCGCAGAAAAAATTGGTCATTAGAACGATTGTGAAACTGAACTTGCAACAGTTATTATTTACAAATTGTAAGTAAACTTTAAATTATGATCAATAGTTGTCGATAAACCTACCTAATTAATTAAAAATACATATCGGTTATTTTTTAATAAAAATAATTTAAAAAATATAGTGATAGTGACACGTCGAATTTGTCACATTTACTTTTGCGCACATGTTCGTAAAAGTAAAACAAATGAACAGTAAAGAAAATTGCTTCTTTATGATCATCGCTTCTGATCGAGAAATAACAGTTTGAGTTAGACTGTCAGAGTTGGCGCCACCTCTTATGTCACTTAACAGGGCACCATATCCGAAAGGTTAAATATAAATTCACATGTTCTTGCAAAAAAGTGTAATATTTCAGATGATTAACACTATTTGAACAAAATTATGACAGAGTGTTTTTATTGTTTTAGGAGTCGCAAAATAATCTTAATGATTCCTGCTCACCTTGTCAGGAAATCCAAGCAGACAGTAGCGACTTTGTAAGTGATGGTGCAGATTCGAAAACACTGAAATATCAATATCAATCAGCTCAAAGAGAGCAAAATGACCTGCGAAGAAAAATTGCTATTCTCGAGAAGAATTCTGAAACGAACCAAGCAAAAATATTAGAATTGAATCAATCATTAAATGAGGAAAAAGAACTAAGTGGCAGCCGATTAGTGGTATGTGAGAAACTGAAAGAAGAGCTTATGTTTTTGGAAGAAAAATGGAAGGAAAGTAATATCGAAAACAAAAAACTGTTACAACGAGTTAACGAGCTAGTAATATGTATTGATAAAAAGAAAGAAAGTGAAACGCGAGAACTAAATATGGAAAAAGAAACTGCTTGCACTGGAATCCCACCCAACGAAGCTCAAGTTCAAGAAAACATGCCAGAGGCATCACAAACCGGGACCCTCAATACAGTCCCACACTTAAGTGCTTCAATTAATCACAACTCATGTTCGAGTATTCTGAGCAATGAAGAGCTTACTAATATTGAAGAAGAACTAGTGTTATTTAAAGAAAAGTACGCACAAAGTTGCGAAGATAAATTGAAATTACAAAAGGATTTACTAAAATTAAGGGTGCAATATAATATGATGTGTGATAGCCTGTATAATAAGTACTTTTGGTATATTGGACCATTAGTCATTATAGTCATTTATCTATTGATTAGGGAGTGGATTTCTTGATTAACGATGATACTGTTATTATTTTTTTACTTCTTGTTCGAATTTTTAATCAAAATAATTAATGAATCATAAAATATTTTCTCAATTTTTTCTTTTGTCTTCAGTGAAGCTTTAAATGAGTCATAAAACTTACTGTTTGGCTGATGCGCTATGTGTAACAATTATAGATAAATTTTTGGTCTGAAGATCAACTTTCTTTTCGTTGTTGAAGAGTGTTATTCCAAAATGCATTGTCATTGGGTGCTAATCAAGTTCTGGAGTGTCAAAATCCAACTCTGTAGTTTGAAAACTTCACGAAAAATTCCATGAATACTTTTTGAAATTTTAGAATGTTATTAATTGCACATTTCACTAGTGGGAAAGTTTTACCAATGTAATAATATTATTTGTATGACGTTAGGTTAAGCAGAACATACGAGTGGTTTTGTATATTTATATTATCATTTTACGATGCCCCACTTTTAACATACGAACTTTTTTGCTATTTGAACTAAAGCATTTATTCAAAAGTTTGGTTAGTTTTATTCAGTTTATTAGTCCAGTTCACTTTTATTAGTCCCGAATCAATTCTCATGTTAAGCAACTGAAATTCCTTGTTTGAGGGGAGTTACTGGCACAAAGTTTAAGCAGAATTGTCTAGTCATCCATTACAACAGTGCACAGTTGTGTGGATTTTCAATGCTTTTGTTTATGTTTGTCTGCTCTTTTCGAATCGAATGTATTTAATGAAAATTGTCGTCCTATTTTAGAAATCTGCGAAAAATGTCATCTGATTACTGTCACTGTTAGTTGTTAGTGTGGCATGTGACACTTGCTGTCATTTTTGACATACCCTTTAAAACTGGCTAATAATATAATATAATCCGATAATTGTGTTTTGAATGAATGCTTTAACTCAAAGAAGATAACGTTGTCGGCTTTTACAAGTGGAACATACTAAAATGATATCCACTACCTTATTTGCATCAAGGTGACAAACGGAAATATTTATTATCTGACTATCTTCACGGTGACACCAAAGTTCGGGAGACAACTTTTTTATTAAACTTCAAAATTCAACAAAATTATACACCATCGAAAACCAACAAAATTCTCTACAAAATACAAAAACATTATTCGAAATGTCCACCTTCAGCGGACGCACAGGCGTGCGCTTGCGGAAATTTTAGACGATGGTCGCAAGTGTTTTTGTGAGAACGACTAATTTGCGAAGTTCATCGGGTTCAAGTCGAGCGAGTTAGATGGCAACAAAGTCCTGTTTCACACGGCGATTTAGTTTGTTTAGCAAAAATCCATGGTCGACCTCGCATAATGAGCCGGCGCCGGACCCAGTTGAAGTGTCTAGCGCCGATTCTTGAAGTGTTGCCGGCTCCAGGAGATCACGACGTCCTTTAAAATGCGTTCTTGGTAGATTTGGGCGTTTATCTTGACGCCGCCCCAGCGGCGTCTTCCCGTTTTTCGAAATTCCCGCCTACGCCATGACCGATTTCGGAAAGTGGCGTCGCTGACCTCGCTTTTTTTTTGTAAAAATTCATTGTTAGTCTGAAAGAGCAGAAAATTCTGAACAATACCAAGTGAGATCCGGAGGTTGTCGGTCGTTGGCGACGCGCTCAATCGTGAACACATTTTCGTCGGTGAACAAAATCGACCCGAAGGACTTTATTCGATGAGTCTCTGCGCATTCTCGAGTCGTACTCGCTTCATTCGCTCATCTAAGTAATGACCTCTTCCGAGCTTGTAGCTACGAAGCTTTGGGCCTTCCCTGGCTATTTCTCTGACCGCCTGTCTGTTAATACTCACCTCCTTGGCCAGTTTTCTTATTCACTTTCCAGGATTCCGGCGAATTCGACATCTCGGCTTGTTTAGGTTCTCGGGGGTTGGGCCCAACTCCTCGTACCGCTTAATGGTTTTGTAGATCGTGCTTCTTGCAATACGGAGGAGTTTTGTGATGTCAGCCGGCGACTTGCCCGATTCGAATAAATTTCCGACAGCAAAACGGTTTGTTTCACGGCTCATAGCTAAAAACGTAAACATAATTTAACATGGGAAACAAACGTAGCTTGTAGAGAATGTAACGAGCTATAAAATAAGCTAAACGTCAACAACACACAATGTCAAAAACACCATTGACATTGAAATTCACGAAGTTTATTTCCGAACTTTTGTGGCACCCTGTACAATCACAAGTTTCCAGAACTCGAACATGTGTAAATACAGATTTTCTAATATTATGTTCACCCAAGGTAGTACTGGTTTAGACACTTTCGTATTGCTTCTATATGTTACGTTCGTAACAGGTTTATATAGTTTATAGGTAAAGAATAAGCGGATAAAGTAATGTCGCATTTTTGTTCAGTTGAGCTTTCAATGAGAATCAAACTTTTAAACGCTTAAAAATTACTTTACAATTTACTGTTCTGTATGATTTTGCAATTTTGTTGTATCATAGCAGTTTCAGTTAGTTCCGATTAACTATCAGACATAATCACTAATTTGTTATTGCAGATATAGAGCTTTTTTCTATGAAATGTGGTTGCGACTAAGCGATTACAAGTTTAATAAACAAATAATTTTTTATTTAGACAGAGAAAACTTTAAAAGTATAACTAGACTAAATTAGATATTGTCTGTTTTTATCGACGACCTGTTGACATTGTTGCTGCAGTACAATAAATCCATAAATTCAGAAAGTCAATTAAATGATATTTTAAAAAAGCACCATTAGAAAATTTCCGATTTAAAGATTTCTGCCTGGAATAATATCAATGATAATCGGAACGAACAGTGCGTGGGCTATCGGGGTACCAGGGATCATCAATGTGTATGATTTTGCATAAGCGTGCTGGAAAGCAACAACCTTTCAATTTGCTGCATGGTTCAGTGATGCGAGTTATTGAACGTAAACGTATGAATTAATCGTATCGTATTTTCCAAACCAATGACGTTACTGTTCTTTACAGGTTTTGATCCCACATGTGGCACATAAGTTTTGTCAAGAATTTTGTTGGTACCATCCGAACAATAAATCATGTAAGATTTTTGAGGTTCGCTAACCTCAGGCACCCATAGGACCGATTTCGAACCTACTAACTCTCATTACCTGGGTTTAGCGACCGCACAACCTGCAATTGAATCACCTAATTCGAACGCAAAAGGACGGATCTGTTCGGCGTCGCGGCTATTTTCAGGTTAAACCCAGCTGATGGAAGCTAATAAGCTCTAAACCGTTCCTGGTGGTGCCTGCCCCATCTTTAAATTGGGATAAAAACCATATAACTAAACGTTACAATGGTTTACTAAATTTAATGTGGACGTTCAAACAGTAAAACCACAATATCGGTTAGATATTTTGAACAAATTTGCAAAAGTAAAATATATTAAAACTATTTATTAGCAAAGTTTACAATCTCTCAGTTGCCAATCCATTGCAATTTTTAAAATTATAACAAATTAATTTAAACTATATATTTTAAGCCACAATGCTCGTTTTTTTAAACATTAGTTCTGCTATTTTCGGAGCAAGCAATTCGGCTGTAATTATTGTAATTAATAGATATAATCTGTAAAGGTAAACAAATATACTGAGGTGCTTCTAAGTCGAGAGTAGAAGACGTAACTTACGAACTCAGTCATGTAAAAATATTCGCGATGTCAAAGCAGGATCAGAAGTTGATGTATGCGCACACGTTGATATTTGTTGCACTACTTTTCAAATATAGATGTAGACTAGTTGAGTCAAGCAGGTAACACAGTAGCGTTTTTTACGTAATTTAGGAGACTTGTAATATAATTCGAAATTAGTAAAATATATAACCACACAAAAAATTGAAATTGTAATAATATTGTAAAATTTACCGTAATTAACTTGGGCAATTTACTAGCATTAAAAATAACTTGATTAAAGTAATATGACATAAATAATTCCAAGGCATTCTTGTAATATTGGAAAGATACTTACAAGTGAGTTTGGCTCTCTTAAAAAGAACTGATTCTGCCGTTTTTCAAAATCGATACCAATCGTATATTAAGGGAAGCTGTAGTATTTGGTACTTAAGAAAATATATAAAAAAAATTTAAAAGGATCCGGATACCTCGCGACCCGCTTGAAAAACCGGTTAAGTCGGGAGCGTGTTTTTTTGTCTCTAAATTTGCAGTAGCAGCCCTGTACGATTTTAATATGCGATTCCTGGTAAAAATACGCCATTAAAAATTGTCTCTAAGATGTCAATTGTCCTATACATTCCCAATTTTTTCGAAATTGTTGAAATATTTTGATTATTTTTGGTAGGTGTCGAAATATAAAAAAATGCGAACTCAATACTTATGGGCAATGCTGCTAAATACTATGCACCTACCGTTTTTTTACTAAACATGCTAACTTTTTACTAAACATAACCAAAAAAAATTGAAAAATTGTGAATGTATAGGACAATTGAGATCTTAGACAATTCCAATTCTTTTTCAGAATTTTTAATAACGTATATTTAACAGGAATCGTAGTTCAACTACCGATGGTAGCGCTGCAAAACATCAAGTTTCTCGTTGTAGAGTGACAGTTGAGGCTTATCAGACGTGTTTTTTATTGGAGTTGATCACATCTATAACATAAAACAATACTTACACACTTTTCGATCTGTTTGTATTTCTTTAAAAGCTTGCAAACAAATCACAATCAGATATTTTTATTTTTTAGAAATTTTTGTTTGCATAAAACAGGTTGAAAATTTTCGAACATTTTTTCGATTCATTAATCTGGCTAAAATCGGAATATTATAGGTTCTCATTGTGGCATTCTTTAAGTTGATTTGTTATGCCGTATCTAACCACCTGTCAAGGACTAGTAAAAAAATATTTTGGCCTTTTTTCCAGCTTTCATAGTTTTCAAGAAAATCGCGAAAAGGTGGTATAGCCATGGGCTTCACGATGTCGGAGGCCTCGGTGAGATCTAGTAAAAAATCGGAAGTCCAATTGCACTAAGCACAATAATTTTGAAGCTATCGATATAAATAACTAACGGCTATTACTTTATTTCGACAACTTTTTTATTATTAAAATATTTTAGGAACATTTATATGACAGCTATAATTCAGTTTACAACTGTTCTTCTGATTTCATCTGCTGCGAACTGATGAAAAATTTCACCAAAATTTAATGTTTTACATAATTCGCTTTCGATACTTAAAGCTGGATTTATACACTGCAGTTGTGCCTTTTGTTGTTCGTAGTTTGCAGTTGTCGCCGTTCGAGAAATAAATATTCGCGAGCGCATGTAGCAATTTATAAACCCGGCGTTGCTTGAGTTTCGTCGTTTCCATTACGTTTCCATCCCGTTGATAATTAACCAAACACTGCTAGAGAGTTTTTTTCTTTAAGGTGTGCCTGCATTTCTTGATACTTGCCCGACATGTTGCTTGCGTTGGCATACGTTTGACCTCGACAATTTTCGATATCAATAGAGTATTCTTCTAAAAGAGATAAAACTAAGTATTCCCGATTATGACTAGAGATTCGTATACTTTCAAGCAATACCGAAGTACAATTGTTAATTGATCAACGTGTGACAGATCTGGGGTCGAATTTACTACCAGTTCAAATTACTTGGCCTATTTTATTCCCAAGTAAAATTATGAGCTCTTCATAAATCGTTTTTGATAAATACGGTAATAAGCCAAGAAAATTTGCATTTTCGGAAGGTTTCAATTTATCATTCGCTCCTCGAAATGGAAGTCCGCGTTCACATAAAAAACGAACAACCTCAACCACTCTTCTCAAACTGATGTCCAATACGTGATTTCTTGATCTACCAATCTAAGAGACTCTTTATCAATACCCTGTTTTTAATCCATGTACTGTCGTCAGGTGATCATACAGATTTCATAGTCGGTACTATTCTTGTGACAGGCAATTTTTTCTGTAACTTTTTTCCAATTTGAGAATCCGTTCTTGATTAATATAATGTTTTTATTCTGAGAGAATAATTTGCACGAATAGCAAAATATATTCCCTGTTGATTTCGTTAAAGTTATATTTATAAGCCCTTTTGGTGCTTTAATAAAAAAAAACTTTAATAGCCCAGAAAGAATTTGTTCTTATACCTATCAGACACAGAAAACAGCAATCAAAGAGTCGCAGCTGCAACTGTTGATACAAAACGATACATATTCTGACAGGGGAAAGTTGAATCTATGTAACTATCAACAATTCATAGAGCTGAAGTTGACACCGTCATTAATAAGTCGTAGTTTAAAATTCAACTTGTAGATCGCCCATCCTTTACTTGCACGGCTTCCATATTGTATGAATCTTACATTCACTGCTTTGTGCGACTTTTGTATCTGCAGTATTAAAACTATTTTCTGTTGTTAGTTTGTCGGCACCTTCACTGCAGTTTCTACAAACAACACTATCACTTTGACTTGTAAAAAATTATATTATTTTTGGAAGTTTATTTGTGCGTTCTTCTCGTTCTATAAATTTACTAATTTACGCTTCACTGCTCCACTTTCGTTTGTTTTTGCACCGAAAAGCACTGCAGAGTGGCTGGTACAATTTTAACGTGCGGTTATCAGCAGCGCCACTGAGTGGCCCGTGCGAAAAGGCGGTGATATCGGACCTTTTTTCAGGAAAGGGCCTCTGCAGGGATGGTAGCCCCGGGCCCTACCACAGGTAAATCTGGCCTTGTGTAAGATACAACCCTGAACCAGTGGTATTCGGAACGATAGGGATATGAGTATTCATATTGTATAAGAAATAAAAAGTGAGCATAAAATAACTACTGGCTTTTATATACAAATTCATGGTTTGCGGAGTTCGAGAAAATACGAATATTATAAACCTCTCGATGCCCAACATTTTGAGATCATTCAGGACAAGAATAAGCTACTTGGACAAATCCGGTAATATCAATGCTGTTCTTGTACTTTTCTTCCGTTATCTTCAATCAATTCAATTTCTTTCTGACTTCGCTTTTTATAATTGTTTTCGTATTTATGAACATTTTGAGAAAACCTAAGACAACATAATCTGAACATGAAGAATCATGAATGTTGTAATTTGTAGTAGCAACCGATAAGTAGAATATTTTATTGTTTATATTAAAAGGATATCTATAAGAATATTTTGCAATACTTGCGTTACAAACGAATTTAAATATTATATTAAGGAGTCTATATTTAAACCTAAAACTGTAGAGCTAGTAAAGTAGTAAATAATGGAGATAATAGTAAATAATCTGTTATATCTGCAAATATTTGGTTAAATGTTGGCTACTTCAAAAATATTTGTTAGGCTTACCAGATACTTCCTGCAATGGTTGTTGTAAATTATTATCAGATGTATGTTATTAAAAATAACTTTACTTATGTTGTAATTTTTGCTTCAAAACAACCTAAAGCTTAGTCGTAGTTATATTTGCTTGCAAAAATCGCACTGGCAAATTTTTTGTTTCGTATCTTTTACCGTGAAATGACCCTGTAAATAACTTGTCTCCTATGCTAAAATGCCTATCTACGGCATTAATTTTTTTTTCTCAGATTTTACTGGATAGTAGTAGTAGTAAATAATACGTTTTCTCAACAAATACGACAAAACTAATAGTCACACTGTACGCACAGAACACCTCTGAACTGTTCTGACTGTACGTGCTGAAATAAAATTAAATATCGCCCAAAATGCAGGATCTGCCCCACAGTTACATGGATTTTAAATGGGATTAGGTGTTCACTTCTCTCTTTCTATTCTAGTCTTTTATTACAGATTGATAAATAGTGCTCCTATTTTGCAATAAGAACGAATTATTTATCAAAAAGTAATCAAGAACTATCACCTAGAGGGTTCCTGCGACACACTTAGGCTCAAATTGTAAGAGAAAATTTCAATTAGTAAAGAAATTAATTTGAAAAAAATACCTTGTCGTTTCGATAGCTATTTTCTGCTATGGTTATCAAAAGAACCTAAATGGACCTAAAAAAGAGTATGTTACTAAATTGTGTAACAATAGTAGGATACAGTATGTGAAAATTCGCTCTGATAATTCATCTGTGCAAATTGTGAGTTATGTGATTATTAAAATCAAATTCAATTTTTGAGGCAAAATACCCATCAAGCGGTTTGTAAAAAAAATAATCACTATTTGGGTTCTACAAAACCACCACAAATATAAATGAATTGGATTATTTAATTGACATTGGTCAATTGCAAAATGAAACCATAAATAATCTTCAAAGTCACCGCAAAACTACACTACAGCAATTTTTTTTTCAATACCTATATAAAAAATTGTTAAAAAACTTAAAAGTTTTTAAAATAAAAAAAAAGTTTTTAAAATATGAACGTTGAGTTGGAAAACACTCTAAACGCAAGGTTCCTAAATTCTACAATTTGAATGATCCCACAGAAAGCTTCACTAGTCATCCACTATCATCCACTGCTAGCCAGCGTTTCGAAATTTCGGACGCGTTCTAAGTTTGGTGGTTTGGTAGACTAGCGCATACTTGTCTTCATCTATGGCGCATATATCGCAATCGGCTCCTTGCTTAAATGACATGCGCAAGTTAGTTTGAGGTTACGTTCACAAGGATGTGGCGAACTCTATCCGCCACTTCTCAACTAGCAGCTCCAACCGAAACGCCAGCTATA